CGTCCCGTGTCTTTGCAGCTGTCTTAATAAAAACATCCACGGTCAACTGTCAGTGACAGGTGGCAGGTGGCCCATGCTTTTCGTTTAATTTAGTGTTCTTTTTCTGGAAATGGATTTTGATAATATAAAAAGATCAAGGATTAAGCGAGCCTCGACCTGGATATAGAACAGAAAAGCAAAACCGTCACGTTTGTGATGGGGTTCAAGCCATAGACAGCCTGCAAGGCATATCACAATGTGCCATGGAATCTGTAGATATTGTACAAGCTGATCGACGTCTTCACGAATACCTCATACCTCGGGGTTGTTCGGGCTAGAGCTTTTATCACACGGAGGCCCCGATTTCCCCATACTATTGAATCCCAAAAAAGGGATAAAAGGATAAAACAATAAAACAATAACAGAATTCCTTTAGAAATTTGTCAAACTCGGTCCACCGGTCCACTGCTCCACCGTGGATCATCGCGAGGTCGAGAAGGAACCCTGGTCGAGCCAATGAGATCTCGGGCTTGACCGATTGAACATGGATCGGATATGAATCGAGGAAGTGTTGTGCATGGCTGGCTGAGTGGAATCTGGGACGTCTAACCGCTTGTCACTCGGAAGCTAGATCTGCCCCTGGCTGTTTTTGGCGTGGTATTTTGACCCCTTTCTGTTTTATTGTTTTATTGTTTAAGTTATATTATTTTATGTTAGATCTATAATTAATTCGTCGGATATTAATTCTTAGTTGTCAAATTGTCAAACTACTATGTTGTATACCGGAATCGAAGGTTGCTTCTTCTATAACTTGCAAAGCAAAGGAGCTATAAAATCAAAACAGTTAGCGCCATGATGATTTGGAATTCCAGCAACGGGGCTCAGGGTCGATCACTCCGATCTTTTTCTGCTTTACGCGTCTTTCCTCAGCCCGAATTCCCGGGTGGTACTGAAGATCCTAACGGAGTATTTTTCCACTCCCCACGATCTATAGATTACAATAGTGTGGTATTTATTTGATTTGATTTTCTACATGTTTTACCTTGCCTGTATTATTCCGAACTGTCAGCTCCGAGATCTTGGATCGTGATCTTCCATAGCGGGACCTGTATTTTTTTCTTTTGGACCCGTCCCCCTGGTACTTAAGACTTGACTACTATAATAATCTCTTCGTCTACTTATACTTCAACTCTCTTTCTTCTATCATCATATCACCATCACCATTACCATCACCATCACCATCACTATCACCATCTACCATCATCTACCACAACCATTACATTTACCACCCAACTACTCTCATAATGCCTGCTTCACACCGTCGTGGTCCTTGGGTTCCAGAGGAAGACCAACTCCTCACCCAACTAGTCTGCGAACAAGGCCCCAACAACTGGGTTCGCATCTCTCAACACATGCACTACCGTTCGCCCAAGCAATGTCGCGAACGTTTTCACCAAAATCTCAAGCCCTCGCTGAACAGAGACCCAATCTCCCCCGACGAGGGCCTCATGATTGAGCGCATGGTCAATGAAATGGGAAAGCGCTGGGCTGAGATAGCCCGCCGTCTCGGCAACCGCAGCGACAACGCAGTCAAGAACTGGTGGAATGGCAGCATGAACCGCAAGAAGCGCGGCCTGTCCACCCCCACTACTTCCCGCACTTATTCAGGCCGCATCGAGGCACCCTACACCCGAGCCTCGGCGATGAGCCCATCGCGCTCTCGCTTCTCTTCTTCCTCTCGCCCCTCATGGACAGAGTTCATCGAGTCCGCTATCTCTGAACAATACTCCCACTCGCGCCGAGAATCCATGGCTTCTTCCACCCGCCATCTCTCCCCCATCTACACACTCCCCTCTATCAACCGACCAATCGAGACTCCCCTCACCTCGCCTGCTTTCTCAGAGGCTTCACACTCCACCTCTTGCGAGCCGCCTTCTATGGTCTCAGACCACAATTCCGTCTGTTCTTCTTCACCCCGCACTTTCCCCTCTCCGCAACTCCTGCCCTTGCCTGTCGACCTGCGCTCGCAGTACGAGATCCGGAGGCCCAGTGTCCACGTTGTCGAGGACTCGCCCAGTTACCCGGCTCGCTCGCTCGAGTCTCTGTCAGAGATCGCTTCCACGCAGCGCTGGATTGGCCACCAGCCTACCCTAGCCTCATGGCACCAGCCTATGGACTTGCCCAAGTCTTGGATCTCCAGGTCTGAGCCTACTCGTGACACTCGAATGGGGTTGGACAATTTGCTCAATTGAAATATTGAACTTCCCATCATGATTGTTACGAGTCTCATTTCTCAACTCTGTTTTCCTCTCGCTTTATACTCCTGATTCCCCTTCGCGCTCGGGTCCATCGATGGAACCCTTCCTGTACATTTGCTGAAAGCTCCTCAATTTTCTTTGTGTCCATGCTCTCTTATAGGGAGGTATTATGATTTTCTTTTGTATATTCTTAATGTGTATTACCATGTCATTTTCAAAGTCTGTTCTTTTGGGCCTTCGTGCTCGGTTCTACGTTGAATGATTATTTTCCCTACTTTTTTGCTGTTTGATTAGGCACCCAATCTGGAGAGATCGGGCTCTCTATTTCTGCATTTGGGATCCCATGATACTCTGTTTATAGTAATGATCTAATTGAATAATTAATAATAATAATATCTAAGCATTTCACTCCCTACCCAAATCTGCATTCCGACCCTCCTATATACAGACCACCCATTGTACATATACGAATACCTTCTGTACTCCCACACCTCCCCGGTTCCAGCCAGCCTCTCGTCTAATATTGCAGATTGCAGGCATCAGGGAATGCAGACATGCAGCCTCCAACCGTTTCGCCCTCCCCTTTGCACGGGTCCCCATGAGGAATGCGCCACCGGGCACACGCTGTGCTCACGAGGACGGACGCAAGGGATGCGAGAGCATGAGGCGGCCCTGGTTCTGGTTAGGGCCTACGCACGGAAGTAAGGACCCACCCGTCTGTCTGACAAGGCAAGGTTTGGAGATACAGATATGGAACGTGGTAGATTGTAGATTGGAACTTGTATAGTGCTTTGGCATGTATTGTTGCAACTTGCAGATGACGTGATGCTTTATGTTTATGCACATGTATACTAAATCCCAGCTAGGGATGGTCATTTCGTTATAAGAAATAGGAAATAGGATAATACCTGATGCTGATGCTGATGCTGATGCTGATGCTGATGCTGATGCTGGCTCATGTATGGCCTGCGTCCAGACCATCACGTAATGCATACATGTACATAATGCATAACCCATGGATACCCTGCACAGTGACAGGCAAGAATCAGACCCGGACATGACACACACCTCCAGGAACAAAGGAAGTCTATTCGAGAGGTTCGTCCGCGCCTGCAGGAGAAAATGGAAAATCAAACGGTCTGGCGCCGTCTCGATCTAGAGTAAGATTGACGGATCCACTAGAGGAATGGAGGATATGTGGGGGCAGCCTAAGCTGCCTAATACAACGCATTAACCTAAAACGCAGAGCGAGAGAGAGAGAGAGACAGAAAGAGAAAGAGAGAGAGAGACGAAGAGAGAAGGATGAGCGGGGAAAGAACTATATTCAGTATGTACATATTCCGTATAGGAACTAGGATCAACGCCACCCAACCAGGCCAGGGTACGGAATAGACAGACCTTGATTATCCCGCCTATCCGCCCCAATTCTCTTTGAATGAAACCGATGCGCTACGGTGATGTTTCGCTCGGATCGCCCAGGACGGGATGAGCGTTGGGACGAGAGCCAATCAGTGGAGGGGTCGTGATGCATTAGGACGGATTGGTCACCTTCTGACGGGATGAACGGCGGGGCCCTTGGTGTTGCATGGATCGTGGAGATGTTCATGCAAGCCCTCTGTTTTGTTTTTTGTTTTTTTTTTTTTTTTTTCCCCCCTCTCTTTTGTCGGGTCTTACTTTCCGCTTCCCCCGTGAGGCTGTTTGGTGCAGGTTCGTTGAGATTTGGTTTTTTTATTTAATTTGGTGGTTGGGTTGGGGTACGGTAACCAAGTTTATGCCGTTTCATCGTGGTATTTGGGTCTGTTTCATTTGATCTGTTTCGAGTCCACTATAGGATTATCATCGTCTATTCTATCAAATTATCAGCTCCACATTATGATGGCAAAATGGTGGCAGCTATCGCTTCCACACACCGTCTCTGTTCTCAAAAATAATTGATCAGGTATTATCTACCATTCGTCGAATCAGATCGAGTAGATTGACTTCCGATGTGATAGGAGACAGTAGCTCGGTAAATCACAAGCTAATTATGCACAAGGAATTCTATTTTATACCTTGTAGGTCCACTGATATTTCAACATTGGCATTGTGAAGATCTGCAGGTTCCCAGCATGTATTGTGCATCTTTTGGCTTGCATACCGTCCATACTGTTTGTTTACCTACCTTTTGCCTGTGGATCCGAATGTGACCGTGGAACTCACACGGGACAAATCTTTCTCCCAAGAAACCTGAATCTCAAGGAAAAACACCCCAGGAAACTCTAATTCCTTGATCCAAAGCATAGGGCAAAGAAAGTTCAAGGACTGCCGCTAACACTGCCCTGACCACCACCCGGCACCTGCGCACGATGGCCAAAATGAAAAACGGCGCCAAGGCCAGATCAGATCGTATCCGTTTATCACTCCGCTGATGTGGATATTAATATATGTAGCATTAGTTACCATGGGAGAAGGGAGCACCGTGCCAAATACATATATTCATCCATGGTTTGACATACACACGTTGCAACTCGAATCCATGGATTCATTCTTCTGCCGTTGCATTCCAAGCTCCCGATCTTGCGATCGACAGCCACATCGCCCTATAGAGCAGTCATGCCGGGATCAATTGTGGGATCCATCCATATGCACAAGAGCTGAGATCGAGATTCGGACACCGATAGATAATCAGCATCCATAGACTTTGAATGTTACTTTGTTTGGTATTACGTCTGTACTGATAATACAAAGCTCTCTGATTGGCCCACGGAGAATCTCGGTGTAATCTCACGCCTGTCCCAAAATAGCTCTAGCGCAGAAAGGTACCTGCCTGTCGGTACGCACGATGGCTGCCGTCCCCTGAGCATATCCGCGGACAAGGTGTGAGCCTTGAGGTGACCGTTCCTCGGGACTTTTCCCGAAGCCAAAGCCTCCATTTTCCAGTGCTGCTAACCATGCAAGTCCCTTCATTTTCCTTTCTGGGTAATTCGCTCCGGTGGCGGTCGTAGGGGCTTCCGGCGCTCTCTTAGGGGCGCCAGCTCGCGTGGCAGGAATCTGCAGGATTCTGGTTTACAGGGTTGTTCTTTGAAGTCTCTTGCTTCATTGGGATGCTCTTTCTGTATTGGGTTTTTTTTTCTTTGAGGGTTTTCAACGGTTGCGTAATTATTTCTGGGATTTTGAGTTCAAGTGGGGTTGTTTATGGAGCCCGTACTATCTATCGTCACGCTTGTACGGAGTACTCCGTAGATGCACAACCGACAACCTCAGGGGTTATTATTGGTATTATTGACGTGGTCCTTCCTAATACGGTTAAGGAGTTTTTCATTGTGATTCGATTATAGTTTACTGGGATAATGCTTAGCAACGGCTTATTGGAATAGCAAATGTTTGATATCTGGAAGGAGACATGGTAAGTCTTCCCCTTTACTGGCGACCGAATATAGGCATACTCTGAATCGGACATTCGATCTCAACATCGCGACCGCCCTCGTACACAGTATCCTTTTCGTCCCAGAGCTTCCACGATGCCCCAGCCGGCAGATAGACCTTGACCTTGCGCTGACCTGGCTCCAACACAGGCACAACCAAGTACTTCGACCCAAACATATACTGAGTCTCGACCTCCCAAGCTTGTTCATCCGACGGGAACTCGTAAAACAAAGTCCTCATCACAGGAGTCCCCTTTCCATGAGCCTCCCGCATCAACCCGCGCGTGTACTCGCGAAGCTGCTCGCGAATCCCAATATACCGTTTACAGATTTCATAAACCTCATCCCCATATGACCAGATCTCATTATTCGCCCCGCTAGCCGTCGGCCGTCCCTCCGGCTTCGGCTCACGGTCACCATGCAGCCGCATCACCGGACAGAACGCTCCCCACTGGAACCATCTCGTGAACAGCTCGCGGAACGCAGGATCCTTGGGGTTGCCGCCGTGGAAACCGCCAATATCGGTCGTCCACCATGGAATCCCGGCTAGCCCCATGTTCAGGCCCGCTGCGAGTTGGTTGCGAAAGGAGCTCCACGACGACGCGATGTCGCCGCTCCACACGAGCGCTCCGTACTTCTGACTGCCCGCCCATGCACACCGCAGGAGATTGACGATGTTCGTTTGACCCTCTGCAGTCATGCCTTCGTAGAAACCCCGGGCGTACTCTTTCGGGTAGGTGTTTCCGACCTGCAGGTTGCTGCCGGCGTGGTAGCGGTAGATATCGAAGTCGTAGATCGAATACTCAGGCTCGGCTTCGTCGAGCCAGAATGTTTTGATACCTATGTCGTAGTAGTTTTGCTTGGCTTTACTCCAGATGAACTTTCGGGCTGCCGGGTTCGTTGCGTCGAAGTGTGTGATGTCGCCGTCGCATTGCATCGCTACGCGCATGCCGCGGTCGTGACGGATGAGAAGCCCTTGTTCGAGTATCTCTGGGAAGTTCTCGGATGCATTTTCAACGGTGGGCCAGATGGAAACCATGAGCTCAATTTTGAGCTCTTTAAGCTCCTTGACCATGGCCTCTGGAATCGGACATTGTTAGCGGGTCTTTCTATCGAAACGATATAAAAAAAGAGAATGACAGCTCACCCGGATCTGGCCAGAACTCCGGATCAAAGCTCCATTCTCCTTGATGCTTCCAATGAAAGAAATCAATGATAATCAAATCCAGAGGAACCTCGCGACGCCGGTACTCGCGCGCAATACCGAGCAGCTGCTCCTGGTTCGTGTAGCGGAGCTTGCACTGCCAGAAACCAAGACCATATTCTGGCATCATAGGAACATAACCCGTCACTTTGGCATACGCCTCTTCAATCTCCGCGGGGGTGTCACCCGATACAACCCAGTAGTCCAATGCCTTGGTCGAATACGCCTCAAAGCTCATGATATTTGTTCCCAGAACCGCCCGTCCAATGCCGGGGTTATTCCAGAGGAAGCCGTAGCCGAGCGACGAAACCGCAAAGGAACACTGGCCTGGGAGTTGCGGTGCGCTAGTTCAAGGTCTGTACCTTTCAGGTTCAGGTAGGGCTGCTGATACTGTCCCATACCGAAGATCTTCTCTTTGCGATCGAGAGACTCGAATCGCATCGTGAGGTGGTAGTCGCCGCCTAGGATTGGACGCATCTCGCGAGCTTCGATAGTCAGCGCGCTGCACTTGGGGTCCATTGGATCCAGGCGGTGGCGGGCATACTCCTCGAGGAGTTTGTTTCCCTTCGAATCGTAGACGATAATCTTGCCTCTGCGTGACACAGTTGCTTTGATCTTGCCGTTTGTAATAGTCGCCTCTTGGTCAGTAGATATCTCAATGCTTAGGTTTGGGCTGGGTGGCTTGGAGGAGAGGGCCCAATCTTCCATTGGAATTGACGCCTGTCTCGTTGCACGTACGCGGAAGGCATTCTCTCCCCATGGCTGCACCCAGAGGATATGGTCGTCGAAACGGAAGATGAGCTTGTCATCTTCGGTGTAGAGCATTTTGGTAAAACAAGTTGTTAGTGGTATTAATCTACTGTTCCTGATGGAAGAAGAGGCGATTTGTCTTAACAGATGAGCTGTCCAGTTCGGGAATTAAGTATTGAGGGAATGGCATGGTACCCCTCACCATGCAATCCTGATGCTGTGACAGGGCTAATTCCGATGACAAGGCAGATCCACTACATGAAGTACCAGTAACAACACTCATTTGTTCGAGGAAACTACTAAGATGCCTCAGGGGTGGTTAGGTGGATATATGCACCTTTAAGCGCCCCGAGATCATAGGTAGCATCCGTCACGAGTTTAGCCTAAAGTCGACCTTCCAAATAGAGCAAGGACATGACTCCGTGTTTTCCAAAAGAGGAAATTTAGATCGTATGAATGAAGCTGCGTTAATAGTCTTCACAACGTGCTATCTACCCGGAGGAAACGTTCAAGGATAGTGGAGGTAGAAAAAAGTATCAAGTATCTGTGGCACAATACCATTAGCAATACCTCAGATATTCTTTATGTGAGAAGTTGGGTTTGAAAGCTACAGCATAAGTCATTGTGTGCATATCGATGTTAGTCAAATGCCTGTTACAGTCGCCAATCACTGCCATAGTGTTATGCCTATCGAATTTGGTAGTTGGGCCAACGATACGTCTTGTATCGTGAATAATATCACCACAAGAACTGGTTCATCGGTAAGGAGAGATAATCAAATATGTGGCAATAGGTAGGAGTTAGCGACCCTAGTGTAATTATTCTTCTCTCTTGGCTAAGCCCTTTGAGAAAGGAGAAAGAGAAAGCATCTCTTCTGGTCCAACGGTCATTTCAGCTAACATATTACCAACCACAACTTTGAGGCAAGACTGCTGTGGGTAGGTCGATACGACAGAACATGAGTATCTGAAACGTAGGGTTACGTGCTATTATCCTTCCGTGGTCTACTATTGCTACGTATAACTATCTCGTGGTCATTACTGACTACTCAGTCCTAGACAATACCTTCTTTATCTGAATTTCAGGAGACTAAGAAACCCCTAGGTTTGTTCTACAGAGAGAGGTCTTTAAAACATAAACCTATGTCAGAGAAGAGATGTTAGGGCTTAAACAACTCGTGTATGATGCACCATGACTAGATCTCAATCCATATGGTCTATCAGCTTCGTTGGAAGATAATTCCCTGTGTTTGGCCAATTTATTGCAAAATTTGACTCTCACTTTCTCCTTATTTAGACGTTTATAAGCCTATACAGCGTGCCTATGAGGTATAGTACTTCGGTGCCGAGAGACCATGTTACCATCCCTGTCTTCCAACTCTTCTTTTTTGCTTAAACTTCCAAGTATCAAAGCAAATCAACTTGAGCTCATTCGCAATTCATCATCAGACCCAGGATTCAACAATACTAAACCGTTCAGACGTCCACGGGAGGTCCCTTGATATTGCCGGCTGGTGTTCCCCGGAAAAAGGACGCTATTCCTTATCAGGACAGAGAGTCAAGCTACCAGCGGGCACGGTTTTCATCTTGCATTGCTCATCCTATCCCCTCAATTGTCAATATCATTCGAACGGCTAGCTGATATCAGATCTGAGCCTTCGATTCATCCAGCGAAGCCTGAATCATGGCATTCAGCGGGGCCGCCGAGGCTCCTACCGCGGACATGGACATCGACATGGACCTCGACCTAGGACCAGAGCCCGAGCCCGAGCTAATTCAGGTGGTGAGTGTTTGCTTTTGTCTTTATAGTCATGGTCGATTGTCAACTAACATGTGTCGAGTGCTAGGAAACAACTCCGAACTTAGAAACCACCGTCGACCCCCTCACCGATGAAGCGGTCTACGAAAAAGTGCATGTTCGCGGTGTCGATGAATTGACCACGGAGAATATCAAGCAATTTGCTCGCGACTGCTCTGGACAGGAGCCAGTGCGCGTCGAATGGATCGACGACACATCCGCCAACCTCGTCTTCTCCTCCGCCGAAATCGGCCTCCAAGCTCTCACAGCTCTCACCCAAGTCGCCGAGGAAGAAGACGCGTCTACCTTGCCACCTCTGCGTCTCCGATCGGCGAAACTTTTCTCCTCCCACCCTGATTCCGTCCTCCAAGTGCGATCGGCTGTCAAGTCGGACCGCAAGCAAGCACGCGCTCATGAGAAGAGTCGCTTCTACCTCATGCACCCCGAGCATGATCCCCGAGAACGCTTGCGGCAAGAGTTTGCGGACAGGAGACGTAGCGATGATGCAGGTGATGGCGACTACAGCCGGCGCAGATTCGACGACCGGGAGCACCGGCGCCGCCGAGACCGCGCCGAGGATGACCACTTCAATGCGGACATGTACGGTGATAATGTTGGCTCTGAACCCGAGCGCGCTCGGGGAAAGCCTAGAGGTCGCGGCCAGAGAGAGCTGTTCCCAGACGACGAGGGCCGATCCAGTGGACGTCTCCGGAATCGCAGTGCGTCTCCAGGACGAGACACGTTGGAGGAAGAACTTGGAGTTAATCGAGGCGGTGGCGATAATAACAGGCGGTTCCGTGAGAGGTCGCCTAGAGGTCGTAAGAACAAAAGTAAAGAGCTTTTCCCAAGCGCGAGCGAGAGCGAGTCAGGAAACCGCGAGCTTTTCCCAAACAAGCCCACATCCAGCTACATCAAGAAAGAGTTGTTGCCCAGCAAGGCTAGTCACCATCGCCGGTCAGATGCATTCGACGCTTCTTCTGCCCCGGGCACCTCTGAACACAGACGCCACAGCAATATTGAGCTTTTCCCTGATTCCACCAACAATGGCGCCCGCATTCGCGGAGCAGCCATAGCCACCGAGGACCAAGGATTTGCCATCCGAGGCGGCTCATCGAGTGGCATGTCGATCAAAGGCAAGGGTGCGTCGGTGCGCGAGCTGTTCCCTTCCAAGTACGACAATGGCACCAACAATAACATCAAAGTTGGCGCCAACGCTGGCAAGGAATTGTTTTCTGAGACACTAGAGGGACGCGGCGGTCGTCGGCGTCGGGCTGAGGATATGTTCAGCTGAATAGACTAAGCGATAGGCCGAGAACTTGTGCATTTGCTTGATTATGAGGCTTCGGGAGCATGGTGGATATCCGGCGTTTCAATAATGGGATGGGGAAATCGATTGTCTGATAAAAGTTTCATAATGACACATACTCTGCTCTGCTGATGGGTGGAACCCGTATATTTTCTGTAATCTCCAATATAACGCAATAGAAGATATAGACCAAAGTAACATTAGTTGAGTCGTACATGGGAAGATATATACAAGTCGTGTTGTGCGCCACGACTAACTCTCCCCAACCAAAATCCTTCCGAGGCATCAGATGCAAGCATGGCCACCTCCAGAACAATTGATGCACTAGCAAGTGCTATAGTTGCGCAGTTCCTGCGCAACAATGACTATTCAGAGACACTGAAGGCTTTTATCCGCGAGGCTGACCTTGCTCCTGACGTGGGGCAGACCTCGGGCGACGACACCAACAACTGGACCATCCAAAGTTTGCTCGAAGAGAAGAGCACATATGACCAAACTGTGAATTTTGAAAGATATGGCAAAGGCAATCAGCAGTCGACTTTATGGAGCGAGCCAGGTGAGCTTTCTTCTAGCATGGCAGTCGAAAGTCATTGGGACTCGGCCTGTCAAGCTTTAACTATCAGCGGTTGCCTTTGTTGTGGTATCTGACAGACCCTCTAGCACCATCAAAGCCTTCTCTCATCCAGACACCGACATCATCAAATATTCTTGCTGCGTCGGTAGAGCAATGGCAGAAACCCCGCGGCGATGCCGATGAAGTCGCCGCAGACGCTGCACCAGCGCAGTCGTATATCGTCTCTACGGGTGCAGACAGGCAAGTACATTTACTCGAGACGGCAGAAGGTAATACGGCTGTCAAATCATTCTCGGGAATCTCTGATTCGCCCGTTCTATCAGTTGTCTCGATCCTCCAGGGGCGGTACATCCTCATGACCAACATGTCTGGACAGCTGCTCCTCCAGCATGGGTCCCAAACGCTGGACAGCAGGAAGGACCATGCAAAGTACGCAGTGAAGGTGGTAGCCTACCAAGACAAGGCTGATCCTTCCAAGTGGTGGGTTGCCACCGCCGGGTGGGACGAGTGTGTTTTCTTATATTGCCTCAATATTCCCGACGAAGTAGACGCACTATCTCTCACGATTGGTGAGCCCGTTGCACGCATTAAGCTCAACTCAAACCCGGATTCACTATTGTTCGTCCCACACGTGGACACCAACGAGCTGCTCCTTCTCGTCTCGCGCAGAGACTCGACTTATATCTACTACTACCAGGTAGAAGCATCGGAAGAAACCGATACTCGTGGAAATGATGAACCCGCTGCCGAGAAGTCACCGCGGGAAGCTCGTCTCCTTGGACAGCAGAATCTGGCCCCCCATTCCAATGCCTGGGTTGCGTTCTCGCCGGTCCACATGGCGCTCAGTCCACACGACCCAGGCCTCCTGGCCGTAGCGACGTCGACATTGCCCCATTTGAAAGTGATCATCGTGCGTCTGCTATTCCCCGCAACGACCGCTTCAGAGGACCCGGTGACACAGGCGTCTCAGGCACTGGCAACACTGGAACTACAGAACCGCGAGGATGCTGCTATCCTCGTGCAGGCAAACACCTTCTCGCCGCAAACTGCTTACTCCACACCGCAAGTGGCATGGCGGCCTAATGGGTCTGGCGTCTGGGTCAATGGAGATGATGGTGTGGTTCGTGGCATCGAGACGAAGACGGGGAAGATCATTGCTACGTTGAAGGGTGGTCATGACTCTGGCTTTAAGGTGAGGACTGTTTGGTCGGGTCTTGTTGCTGTACCCCAGGAAGAGGGTGACCCGGTCTGGGAGGAATGGGTTATCAGTGGTGGGTTTGATAAAAAGTTGATTGTTTGGAAGGTATGACCTTTGTGACTATACCGAATATCCAGGCCAATACGAGTCATGGATGTGAAAGCAAATGTGAAGTAGAGGTAAATGAATTGATTTAGACATAACTAAATATAAAAACGACTGTTACTGTCTACGGGATGTAGCCCCCCTGACCATGAACCCTGTCGCATCGAGAAGAATCAAGACAGGATATATAGCAATCGGGGACTTGGGGGTTCTTCTTGGCACGTTAAGAAAAAATCCTTCAGCAATCGCGCATGAGAAAAGCACGCAGCTGTACACACATATGCCGGACGGGAGTTCTGGGAAAAGGGGAGAAACTAAGCTCAAGGGCCACAACACAGACGAAGTTGAGCCCTCGGGTCTGGAAGAAAAAAAGAAAGGGATATAGCAGAAGAGATTCCGCTTGGGAAAATGGCACCGCTGTGCACATCGAATTAAGCCTGTTGATTTCCTGATATCAAACAACTCGAGGCTCGTCGCGCAAGAAATAAGCAAAAATCAGGCCTATTCGACACAGCGGACCGTCCTTCATCGTCACACACGTTATGTTCTCTGGACCTCTTGCACGCTCGAGTTGCATTTCATGTTTCCCATTTTTTTAAGACTGAGTTCATAATCTATGCGACCTCGCGCTTGCCCTCCTTGCGCTCCTTCTGTTCAATGGGTCAGTACTCCGTTCCATAGGTAATGGATGGTGGGTTCGGGTTGTGGTCAACGTACAAGGGCCTTCATGGTGCCGTGGAGAGCGTGACGGTGGTTGCGGCGGAACTTGGGGTCGACACCGTTGAGGGAAGGGTAACGGTTGGTCTTGGGCTTCTTGATACTGTTCGGACAAATATATCAGCGACTCGATTCAGGGTGAGATGGTGTGGCGGATGGTGGTCGAATGCAGTGGTTCGAAGAGATTGCCCGGGCGAATATTCCAAGTCGTTGACCTCAAGATTCATCACGCCGGATAAAACCATTCGCACACTAGCACTTCTTCCACCACGTTCATTGGATCGATTGAAAAATGCCGGGCAAGTGTAATAGTAGGGTGACCGAGGAAGTTCAAGGGCAAACGTACCCGTTACGGTGAGCCTTCTGGCTGCTGTGGTGCTGGGACGCGTTCTTGGACTCTGTAGGTGAAAATCATGTCAGCGCCATCGCCTTTTTTCTTCTCTCTCGCCAGCTTGCAGAGGAGCGAAAGTCATAGGGTCGTGGTAAAAACGTACTGGCCATCTTGTCGGATGTTGTCGCTGATTGACGGTGATAGATGGAGAGGAGTGGGAATAGGGACGTCAGGCCTAAGAGGCTCGGCTAGGGCTCGTTCCGTTTGTGGGATCTCGCTTATTGGGCGGTGTACATACTACAGCTTCACTAGGTGGCTTCTTACTTGCAAGATTGTCCCAGAAAACGTTATAATATTTTGATCGGTCTTGTATCCTGTTATATTTCATTTTGTCGTTCTAGCTAATTGGAAATTGGGGGTTTTTTTAACTCGATTTTAGCAGTTCTTGAGTCTGCGAGTTTTTCTCCCTTCATTCTGCCACCTAATACACGTGACCTTTATATATTTATCACGTGCCCGATACTTCCAATGCTGTCTACGGGGTATTGAAGAAGAGGTTTGGTTTCGGAGGCCACATGATAGTAGCAAGTGCAGTATACGGATACAATGAATTGTGCCTGATTACTACTAGCGAGAATTCCTGCACCAACTTGTTCTCGGCGGCAAATGTTACATTAGGAATCGGAGTTCTGGAACTTATATTCTAAAATGGATAAATACTAAAATACATATAACAGGAATTGAACATGTGTTCTCTCCTTGTGTCCTCAAAATATGCATACAATGACTGTAGTCAACGCAGCTCATACTGGCCATAGTCCGGCCGTTGAATTCCCGTGCCACGTGACCCGCCGCTAGGGAACAACCGGCATTCCGACTTCGACCTTTGCAACGCAACTTCAAGACGGATAATCCAGCCTTTGCACGTCATCCACCACTGCAAAATGAGCTCCTTCCGCTTTGCTCGCTCCGCCCTCCGGGCTCGCCCTTCTTTCCTCGGTGCTCCCGTCCAGCGCCGTGGTTACGCTGAGGCTGTCGCCGACAAGATCAAGCTGTCCCTGACTCTGCCTCACCAGGTGCGTGAACGAAGTCCGGCCGGCATCCCAACATCATAGCCTAAGTACTGACTTGACAATTGCTTGACAGACCATTTACCGCTCGACTGGCGTGTATGTTGTGCTTCCAATTGCGCCCGCGTCGACGGTGCCCACGCCCTTTTCCTAAATACTGACCAACCTTCGCGATTACAGTACCCAGGTCAACCTTCCCGCCGCCTCCGGTGAGATGGGTGTTCTCGCCAACCACGTTCCCTCTATCGAGCAGCTCAACCCCGGTCTCGTCGAGATCATCGAGGAGAGCGGTGCTACCAAGCAGTACTTCCGTACGTCCGATCTTCGCGCTCTGAAACATTTCGCAAATCTGGTCTCTTGTGAATTGGAATCAATCGACTAACAATGGTGCTACTTTATAGTGTCCGGTGGCTTCGCCGTCGTCCAGCCCGACTCCCAGCTCAGCATCAACGCTGTCGAGGGCTTCCCCCTTGAGGACTTCAGCGCCGATGTAGGTTTTTTTTCCTTTCTAATGTCGCGACTAAAGCTAACTGGAGCTTCCTTACTAGGCTATCCGCGCCCAGATCACCGAGGCCCAGAAGATTGCCAGCGGCAGCGGCAGCGAGCAGGATATCGCCGAGGCCAAGATTGAGCTTGAGGTATGAACCCGCGGGACTACCGGACTGGTTAATTACTGACTTTTCTTTTTCTTGAACAGGTTCTCGAGAGCTTGCAGGCTCACGTCAAATAGATTGATGTACATAACAATTATCGCCCAAACCATGAACCTGTAGAATTATAGCAGTTCTCCCTTCCCTCTAATTATACGTGTTTATTATATCTGTCTACATTCTATGCGGTAGAGGTGGGAGCGCACCTTCCAAGCTTGGAAGTTAAGCACATGACTTGCCCATCTCATCTCCAATCTCCGACCCGACGGTCGACTTTCATCTTCAGCTGACCGTGCAAACATGGCATTCGCCAAATCACTCAAGTCAGACCCTCTGGGTATGGTGGATACTCGATTGATGATGACGGACTCACCAATGGATGGTTTCTTTTCACCTCTCTTTGCGCCATTCACCGGGCTTGATGGAACTGACGAAAGACAACCAAGCAGCCGCCAGCCAGAAGCAGAAGCAAGCCCGAAGCAAGCTCACGGAAGCCTCGAATTTCGCGAGTCTTTCCGTGGTTTTGATTCCAGCCGAAAATGTCCTCGACTTGAGTTGGATGTCGCTGTGGATAAGTACCACACTCTTGACGGTCTCGCTGAACCATTGAATCCCCAAAACACCCCCGCATCAAATAGCGAACGAGGGAGCACAGAGGAATCTACTGAGTCGCTTCGATGCTATAAAATGGAGAACGTACGGACGAGTCCTGCGCCTGGAACGGGGGAGTTCAATTTCGATTGCTTCCAAGATTCGCCAGAGGCAAGCTTTGTTTATCAAGACGACGGAAGTGAATCTCCTAAACCCTCAAAGTTGCGACACCTTTCGGTTGGCCGCCGACAGTGGATCAAACCTCCTGTTACTGCCCTGGCGAATCACCAGCCAAGCATGAATGCCGGTGACTTCAAGAAATCCAGCAATTCTGGTCCGCTACCGCGATGCGTTCGATTTTCTCCTCCTGCAGCCTCTCTGTCTTCGCCTTCTCGTGCGACACGTCGTCCCCTACCTTCGATTGAAAGAAGACAGGATTATGTTGCTTTTCATCGACAGAAGAAACAACACCGGAAATGGAAGGTCACTGGTCGCGCGAACCCTCGAAAAAGCTCACCATGCAACATCCCTACAAAAAGAATCATCCCAAAGAACCATGATCTGCGTGACTCGTCCCTTTCCAGCTTAACCTATCGTGAAACAGGTCAAACAACTCACCTCGCTCGTGTTGGCTCGGGTAGTGATGCCCGGGAAGTGAGAGCCGGCAATGTGGGCGACACTCCTGTTGCAGATGACCCGAAAATAACGGGTAACACCGAGCAGAACCTCCCTGAATTTCTTGCTGTTTCGTTTTCGCTTTACAGAACCAGACTTGCGCCTAGCTCATCCATTGAGAAAGCATCAAAGTACGCATTCAAATTTCGGATGACTCGAACTGATCTCCCTCAGCAACCTTCTCCGCATTTCCCTACCGAATTTGAAAACACCACTTGCCACCCGATCAGTGATGACTTGCTATTACACACTTGCTTCATCATCCCGGCGCGGGTTGTACTACTACCTCTTAATGTCATCTTCGTTGCAACATACCCATTGACAAACACCCGGGCCGGCGTTGTAATGCTCTACCTTGCCAGAGCTTTACTCTATCTACTGACGAGAACCATCCTTTTTGTGTTGTCCAAGTGCGGAGTGTCTTGCGGCTGTCAGTGGAACCCGGACACGGCCATTCGGACTCAGTAGCTACACCCTTAGGGTGAGCAATTGAGGTTGGACAAGATCGAAGCGACATGTGCACCAGCGAATTCCGTTCGTATTCCTCCAAAGACAGTTTTATGCAGTATTCTACGGGTACCTTGGTTCACGCGGGTGAGAAATGAGTTTAGTCACTATTTGATACATTTTTGTGGCCGAAAGCCGAGTTATGGGTAGGAATGAAACAGATTTTTCCAGAATGAAGTCTCTTGTATTAGTTTTTAGTAGAGAAATTCCCACTGAACTAAAGTAAATGAGATGAGAGGATTCAATTGACTTATAGGGACTCTCCATGTCTACATAGGTCACTATCGTGACGGGCTATCAAGCAAGCAGTTGTCAAGAAGGATGAGAGATAATAATGAAACAAAATGTATTTAATCTACACATCGATGCACACCTCCGGGGCTAACCTTAGCACTCGGATACCTTGCTTTAGAATAAAAAATTCACACTTTAATTTCTTGCATTACAAAATTATAGAATCGATCCTATGCAGTCTCTTCTCGCTTTGAACCTCCATTGATTAGCCTTACCACAGCATGTTAATCTTAGCGAGGACAGGCCGCAGGATATCCTGTTTTGAGCTGAACATGAGATAGTCAGAAATTAGGCGTTAGATTATCTGTGAGGGCTTCTAATCTCCGTGAACAATGTCCGAGATCATGGGCGTCTATACCTAAGGTTCAATGTAGGGTCTACTGCAAAGAATATTGTTCAATATTAACCGCATAACTCTTTAAGCTGCACTCGGTTATGCCTCAGGAGAACCTCAGGAAGAATAGGACAGATAACCAATACCAAGACCGGGTATATCAGCACAAACATGAAGACAAGAAGACCAGCAAAAAGCTAACTAACAACCCAATAAAAGATCCTTTAAATCGCTGGCATCATAAAAGCAGGAATGAGAAAGGAAAGGCTAACTAAAAGAATCATTTCGTCGCCACAAGAGCACATTTAAGAAAGGAGGAAAACATATCAAAAAGACATAGCACCGTGACATAAGGTTTGGGGGGAGGGAGTCATTTATATCAACGCGGCTCTGAAAGACATAACTCGTTTTGTACATGTCGTAAGCTGGGTCTGTAGTAGACACAAGAGAGAAAAAAGCGGAGAACTCTAGACGGTACTTAGAAAGCGATCACGTGAATTCCACACCGTGCTGCTGCTGCCTCTCTTGTCGGGTCCGGGCTCGTTCAGCACGTCTGCGGCGACGATTGTTCGCGTACGAGCCGCTCATCTCAGTACCGGTATATGTAGGCGAAGTGACACTGCCTGGTCCATATGGGTTGCTGGAAGGTGCAGGAATGGGAGGTGGCATGCTGCCTGAAGGTGCCTGTGGAGGGGCAAGGCGAGCAGCAGCAGCAGCCTGTTCACGTCGCATCTGCTCGTCTTGTTGACGTTCGAGTTCTTCAACGCGACGCCAGCGGTCGTGGCCGGCGTCTTCGTTGCCAGACAAGGAGCCCGCACTGCTGTTGCGACGTCGGGAGCTTCTTCGCTCTCTGCGACGGGCCTCACGGCTCGCGGCCGCTTCTTCTTCGGTCAGCCGACGGAGTGTCACATGTCGTCCGTCATTGTGCATTTTCACTTTCACAGATACCGGCGGGGAGGCAACGTCGTCCTCTCGGCGCCGGCTGCTGCTCCGATTACGGCGGGCGGCTGCATCTAGTGCTGCCCCAGCAGCCGCACCTGATGCAAATT